GGGTAGTCGGACAAAAAATTATCCAAGTAATAGTCTTAACCCAAATTTTATCATTGATATAGATAAAAAAAAACGAATTTTGAAAGATAGCACATTAAGAAAAATAATGAATTTTTTGTAAAAAGGATAGAGTGTAAAGTAATTGCGTAAGTATTAACACGGTAATGATGGAGGCGACTTAAAACTAATTGCTCACAGTCTATCTATGAAAATGTATCCATATAAATTAGACCTCGTCAGATCGTATATTAAATATTTTATCGTTGTTAAATGAATATAATTACAATTTCATAAATAAAATGTCACTACATTCAATCATCCGACCACGCCCAATCTCATGAATACGTTCTCACAAAAGAGTTGCGCACACAGTAATTAAGCATAGCCGAATTGGACTTAAACCGCAACTCAAAGAACAAAACGATGAGCCGCCAGCCAATCTATATCTGCATTGTAATTGCTTCCTTTTTCCCTGTTTGGACTTTTATTTGCGTCGACCCTGACTCCGAGAGATTTTCACGTGTCAGTTCCGGCCAAGAAAATGTTGGCAGGTAGTTATGCGTACGTATCCAAGTACCAAGTTCCTTCTTGATTAGGTCCCCTCTTGTGAGTGCAACTCCATTCCGTCGACTGATGGTAGATCTTTTTAAGTACCGCCAGTCTGCACCTCAAGCTGGCTCCCACTTGCACAGTTGCACTTGTATATGTGAGCGTCTTTGTTTAGCTCGAACCTTTTATTGGGAGTTTTCGTGTACGTGAAAATGAACAAAAGCTATTTGCGAGCAGTTTAATGTTTGAATTGCGAATAACTCGTTTGCTACTCGACTCCTCATTTAACAAGCTGATTTTAGAGTCAACTCGTTATTAAATGAACCAAATTTGAGCTAGGTCTCGTCCAATTTATTAAGCTCGCGAGTTAGCTAGTTGGACTCAGTGACTAATTGAGCTCGGCTCATGAGTTGGTTTATTTGGAGCTCACGGGCTAATTAGTTGACTCTTTGGCTTGTTCTTGTTGAACTCCGCTCGTGGATTAAATCCTTTACTGATCACGAGCTGACTTAATAGTGTAGTTCTCGGTGTCCAACTCTATATAGCGTCCAAGTTCTCTTAGAATGACTGGATAATTAGTTAAATTAAATAATATTAAAACTCACAACATAACTTTATTTGAGATTCACGGAACATGGTGGAAATATTCTTGCCCATTATTATTAATTAGTACATATATATAAAAGCTGAGTTCAAAGTTGAAAAAGACCGAGAGAGCAACACGCGCCCAAAGTGACTAAAAAACCTTCCCGTCCTTTTCCTTTTTATAGTCTTGCCATTAGCCTCAATCCCCCTTCCCATTTCCTAACCCGAATAATTTGTTTTTAGCGAGAAAATGGTACATGTTGCCGACTTAAATCAAATCCGGTTTTATGCTAGAAATTTGTTCTTACTTATGAGAAATCACAGGTTGGATGGACAAACTACTGAACAATCATTAAATCTCATCCAAACAACCCATATAATCACTCAGCTACGCAGAAGAGGGACTGGGAAAGGAATTGCAAGACTGAAATCCCAGATTTTTCGAAATTTGCTAGAATAAAATGCATCATAGTTACCACCGAATTCAACACTCGAAACCTAGAAACGTTTTGGCCTAAAATTCGCATGGAAAGGAAAATATAAAAAATCCAAATAAGAGCAAAGAAAGAAAATGTGACAAACAGCCAGCCAGCGTTAGACTGTGAAGTAAATATAATAATTAACTAGTAAGGAAACCCGCGCTCCGCGCCGGGAGGAAGTTTGTGATGTCATATTGGAGAATTCACGGGACACATATAACAATTTTTCCGAAAGGGCGCAATTAGTGCGAGGAAATATATTAGCGAAGAAAAACACATTAATATATGCTAATTAGGATTGGCTTAAAATGCCTTCAGATTACACTCCCTTATATAGAGGTGTGAAAGGTTTTCGAGTTGTGCAAATTCTTGAGCATTAGGGCATAAAAGAAAAGGAATATGATCTTTTTGTTGTTCAACTGTGCAGTTTCATTGGTCATTGACTCGAACAGCTTCCCTATCCCTATGGCCTATATCAGAAGTAACTCCCCCCTCCCCTACCAAGAGACCAAACACCACCTAGATTCAATCAAAGAAATTCGTCCCACTTATACAACCATTAGGCCATTCAATTATATAGCAACGTGACAACAAACTAAAACATCAAAAAGTATACCTAGGTGCATGACTATTATCTTCAAAAGCAACCATATATCAAACCTAAAGGGCTTCCCATCATTTTCGTAGTAACGTTCAACACCTCAACCCTTATTCGGCCGTCACCATCTTGATGCTAGTCTTCTTACCGGTCATCATACTATACAACTAAAGACTGTATGAATAACCAAATAAGGAGGAAATTCTATGATTGATATGCAAAAGCGTACAATAAAGGAAAATTCGATTAGATGTGGCAAGCCAATGAATATAAACAACAAAAATCTAGTGAGTTGAAGGAACACAATACAGAATATCAGAATAGAGCTCATCACAATAACCTCACGTTTCTAATTAGTTAAAACACTAATCAAAAGGCGAATGTGATTGGAAAAGGCCCAGAGCATTCAACGCAACAAAAGAAAAGGTATGGTTGCAATTAGAAAATTAACTTATAAGAAGCATAAAATTTGGGAGGCCTTCAAAATTGCAAAGAAGAACTAAAGGCAAGCAAAATTATATGGATGCATATTGGTTGCAGCCTCATACATGAACTGAAAATATAAATTTTGTAACGGAGGAACATAATTATTTTCTATCCACATTGATCTAAAAAGCAAGGCAAAATAAAAAGAGCTGTTGAATTGACTTTCGTGAATCTGCGAGAGAAAACATACCATTCTCCATCAAAACCTCATTACTGGTCTCTTGAGGTGCAACTCATGTCAATTAACTCAAGAGGCAGTATCAGCAATTATAAGTAATTTGTAACTCTTTGGCAGTTTAAATGGATAGGTGTATAAAACACTCACACATGCATTCTGCTAATTCCCAACATCTGAACTGCCCTAGCAAGATTTTCGCAAAATAAGCAATCAGACAGTAGGACGTAAGTGTACAGACTCCATTAAATCTAAAAAGGGGAGAAGAAATCAAACTCCTTACAGCAAGCACTATACAACTAATAAGGTCTCTTGAATGACACGATAAGTTTATACCCTTCCCTAAGCCATCATTGCACAAACGTCCATTATTCGACGGACGCTTCAGGAAATAATTGATCGAGTAGTTTATAATGTCAATGCTAACAATGAAATAAAAAATTGACCTGGGTGCAGAATCGCCCAATTGAAATCTAGAAGCAACACCAGCTGCAGCTTTAAGAGTATACCCAGACCCAAGCATGCACCATGTTGGATTCATTGAAAATGAGATACATGAATCGTTACTTCAACTTATGGCCATAAATCCTTGCAAATAAAAAAAGCATTACTAAACTTGATCGCACCTCAACATTAGAGCTACGTAAGGTATCTCAAAGAAATTGCTTGTTCCATTCATCAAGGTTGTAAGGAATCAGATCTATACCGTACACAATACCACCTACAACAGCAGCAGTATAAAAAAATGCAGCAGCGCCAATTAAAACACAAAGGAAGCTAGTAAGAGAAGAATTCTGAATAAAGTGGCCAACAAAAATAGAATAACTACATAAGGGAACAATAGCAGGCAGCAACATCAGAACTGCAGCACAACGAACACGTAAACACACACGAAACAGTAGAGGGAAGCAACCGAGAGGTTTGATGTAGGGCACTCTTTGACGATTCTATAACAAAGATGTAACATATGAATGTAATATGGAAGCAATGCATTCAATGTAAAAAAATAGGAAGTTCGAGAATAAAATCCATGACAGTAGTGGTTCCAAGTTCCAACATTCTATGTAATTTTCTAATATAGGGATTCATATGAGAAAAGCATCAGTGAAAAGAGATAGCAAGCCAAATCATCAAAGAATTCCTGGAAGACACCTAACCTGCTCACTTGCTCGTATTTCAGTACTCATATGATTCTCTAGTGCAAATAACAGACATACCCATCCCGCTCCAACTGCAGCCTTATCCCCAAACATAACACATAAGTCTTGAAACAGAAAGCAAACGGCCTGCTAATTTATATTACTTATTATAGCATACCACTTATAGTTGAACAATATGTAGTATTATGGAGCATTGGGAAGATGACGTTGAGGAATATCACGGTGGTAGAAAAGTATGCGGGATTTGGCTCTAGTTATGAAACTATAAAAGCACTAAATAGTTAAGTCATGACTGATGCAACATTTTCCTTCTACATATGCAAACTGAGGTTTATATATACATGAACATAACTTGTTCTAACATTTTCTATCATTTCTGTTTGTTTTTTACCTCCTCTTTTATTTGTGCCATCGCAACCAACTTTCCTTAAAGGAGTTTGATATGTGGCATCTCATCCCACATTTGGATCCTGGTGTGCCAACTTGGAAGAGTTTTTCCAGGATCTGCACATATTTGAGAATAAAGGATTCAGAATCAAAAGTGGCAGTATGTTACAGAACAAACTCATATGTTCTAATCAACATCCCAAAGGATCGGTTTCATCAACATAGAGTTTTTTCTTATCGCCTACAAACATTAAAAACCCTTTTCCGTTCATAAAATCTTCACATGTGTAAAGATAGAATCAGAGAAGCAGGAATTTAAAGTTCTGCTCTACCTGTTTCGGTGATGGAACTCTGTCAAATCAAGCAACCACTTAACTGTGATAATCACAGGCGGTCCTTGCTGTTATTCAGACCGCTCACAACTCTCTCCATTGCAATAGCTTTACCAATGGGAAACCTGCAAGTCTAAAAATCCATTAGCATTCAGATTTAAAAAGTGATGGCCAAGCATCGCAATGCAGGGATTTCAAGTAAAGAAAACAAATCAGAACCCACCCAAATGGCTGAAAGTCCATGAACATATACAAACTTAAGGCAAGCATCGAAATTTCCTCATCTCTCCCAGATTTACAATTCTTTGAAGTTGTCTTTGTGGCACCAATTTCGCAGCTGGTCGACAAACATTGCAATGTCCTCCCCAGCCCTCCCACACTTACAGTTCCCGGAAGTTGACTCTGTCGCACCAATTTTGCAGTAACCAACTGCACGATAATGGTTTGTTTAAGTGCATCTTTTTTCAGTGCACCAGGCCCTTCAGGTTTCTTGAAATCCTCTTTGATCAAAAGGCAAGGCTCTTCATCTAACAAATCTTGATCAGGGGCAATCTGCAGTTGAATAGGTATTTGTGTACCCTTTTTTGGAACAAAGAACGCCCCTAGTGTCCAAGGAAGGGAGATAATGAAGTTTATACTTCCACTACTTCTATCCTTGTTGATACCAACTGCACCCTGATTCATGTTATATGCATTAGCAATGACACCTATGAGGAAGTTTGCTAATCAGACCTCTACATCATAATTTACACATCTCATTTCGGGGGTGTTAAAACTGACTAATTATTATGAGAAGACAAAAAGATCCTACAGACTTCTGCAAGTCTTTTTGACCAAGTTTTTGCTTGGTATGCAGCGTAACTTAACATTCATGTGTGTACTATGAGATGGAAACAAAGATTACGGAGACCATACTGAAAACAACATACAGTGTCATGGTCTGCCTTTAATGAAAAGAATTGTAGAAAGAAACCCAGTCCTAACAATAGAGCTCTATGTAGCATAGTGCAGCAACCATAAGTTGCCTTGTATATAGATAGGTTATCGGTATTTGTTTCAGCAACCTGTTTGAGCTTGTATATGTCAATGTTTCATTTGGAGAAAATAAAAGCAAAGTAAATGTAAGCAAAAATATATAATGAGCAACATATCACAAGAAAGGGAAACACAAATTTCAAGCTGAACAGTGTCAAAGAGGCATGATGCAAAAACATAGCATTCGAGCCTCCTCTAACCGGATTAGAAATAAACATGAGCAAACACAGTGAGATTCATTATGTGCTACCTAGCTAGATGAAGCAACACCGGAAGTCAGAGCAAAAGAAAAGTTTGTTGCCTTACAATGAAATCTAAGGAGAGTAATTCCAGAAGTAGATTTTAGTTCACACTTAACCATTTTGATTGTTTGAGCAAATTCCAAACATAATAGTTCATTCATAATGTATTACCTCGGTAGATAAAGCAACACTGGAAGTTAGAGAAGAGCAAGATTTCGTTACCTTTTTTGGTTTCTTCAGAGTGATACACGGGTTGAAAGTTCCCTCATACAACAATCGATCCTACCACATTGCACCTTTCCCCCAAGAGTGATTCATACATCCACTAATCAAAATATGTTTGCTTTGAAACTTCAGTTGCATTGCTCCTACCCGATCTCGCAGAACATATCTAACTTAAGCAAGCAAAATCTGTAAATTCCATCATAGAATCTGTGAGGCAAAAAGGAGTGGAAGTGTTGACCTGCAAGGATCAAATTATGGATGGGTGGCATAGGGAAGGAGCAGAGAAGACCAACGTTGCTCTGGTCTTTATTATTGAATTCACAATTGCACTTACATCTTGAAACGGTGACAGCCAGGAGAAACAGAACCTCACTTTCCTTCATTGTTCAATGATTGCTCTTCCCTCCTAAAAGGAAAAGGTTTTTTTTATGAGTGATGGAATCAACAGAGTGTACTACTGGTCGAAAGAGGCATACACCAAACAAAAACACTGCAAACAAATCAATAAACCAGTGAAGTTCAACACTTACAATTATGTTATGCAAAAGCTCTTTTCTAGAATGGTCCTTTCATGTTTAAAAAGCTGATAAAGATGTAATCTTTCATTCTGTAAGCACTCTCCCACACCCCTGAGCACTAATACAAATGATTAGTTGACCAAAACTCGAGCTGGTTCATAAAGAATCTTACCATTAATGAAATCCAGAACTCCGAAAATAGACTAAGCAAACCAAATGGAAAAAATGATGCACCTGCTCTTAGTAACTTCTCGAGGTTCCTATCATTTTGTTTTCCAGTGGATGATACTGCCATCTTTGAGGCTATTTCTCATTTACATATGCCCATCTCCTCCAGATCATGTTTCTGGGAGGCAACTACCATGAGACTGAAGTCATGAGTATAAAAGATCAGGTCATATAATGCTATTTAAAGAAAGTAACAGTCCGTAAGTAAAGGGAACTGAACTGATCAATAGTCTGCTATTATTATAAACACAACCCCAGTAAGAAAATCGTCTTATACATGCTGTCGTAGCTCACCATACACATATTAATTGGTTAGAAAACACATAAACACCAATATCGTCTGAAAGAAACTGCGGGTTGGGGAGCAATTGACATGAAAGATCATTTTTAATTTTTTTAACTTCCTTTTTCTTCTACTCTGAGATTCCAATAATACGCATCAAACTTCTATTTCTATAATATACATAATGCTACGAATTCGAGATTATTTGCAGGCTAGGAAATCTCACCCTTTCGTAAGTTGGATCCAGAATAAGATTACTACAGTTCAGCCCATAAATCCTCAACTGCATGCCTGCAAACCACATGACAAAAGCACAATCATTTAGCGTGAATCAAAACAGTATGCAGCCAAATCAGGATCGAGGAGAGGACACCCACAACCTGCAACAAAGTGAAGCTAGAAAACCATTTAGTTAAGATCCACAATTCACATCTCTTACACAAGATGACCGTGGCTATGCTTGGTAAAGAGGCAGCAGAAACATAAACTATAGTAACTCTGTAAACCACCGCAAGATGAATTAAAGGAACTGGAAATCAACCGGAAGGAGGACTCTATAGGAAATTGCAGAAATCATTTTGACAGATTATGTCAATAATGCAGAGCAACTCAGTTTCCTATATCCAAACAACTTAATAAAAACAATAGATTGAGACACAATTCCAACATAGACTCTTATACCCTTGTAAGGGCAGGCAAGGAGAAATAAATGCTATATATACTGTTGATAGAAACCCTAAAAACAAAATAAAAAAAACATCAATGATCCAGAGAACCAAAATAAACTTCATAACCATCGAAAAGCAATTGTTCATCTCGAAAACAAATAAACTATGCAAACTACTCTATTGATTGGAATACAACCATAAAAGATTCCAAAGTATCACTACTGCTTAAGACTTCAATTCCTCTACCTTCAAAACTCCAAAAGAACATGTATAAACCATCACCATCACAAGACAATGTTACTGACCTGCTATATGTTGCATAACCACAAAATCATACTGTTGCATTCTGCTTAACCATACCCAAGGAATATGTATAAGCAATTGATCATGAACAATAATGTAACTATGTTGTATAGTGCATAACCACAAAAGAATGCATTGGCATGCTGCATAACCAAAAAATCTTGATGTTATTTGATGCATAACCATAACCAAAGTTCTGAACCAGTTCTGTAGGTGCTAAAGTTGCCCAAATGGCTTAGACTGGAATTAGGTCAAACTTTATGAAGAGAAAATAAAAGTAGCGAGTACACCAAGATATAGCTTACATCTATAGGAAATAATCAAACGAAGACGGAATGGAACAAAAAAACAAAGGCATTTAAAAAAAAACGTATACATGTTTCTATCCCTTCCCCTAATCCTCGTTTACTCTGCAATCACCCCTTTCCCAATTTGTGGTTGGCCAGTGGAATCATAGAAGTCTCATGTATCCATTTATAAACGTACATCAACAAAACAACATTAGAAAAGGCAGAGAGACCTGCAATGAGAGACTGAAATCACAAAATAGATTGGAAAAGAAATTGAAGCAAAAATTGAATGTTAGGTTGAAGAGGTTTTCAAGACCTACGATTGTTCTGACAGGCTGTTCAGCATTTTAAAACAAAGACAATTACCATGATTGGCAGATAAATCTGGAACTCCTTCATGACAAACAATACATATTAGTTGAGTGCCTTGAGGCAATGGATTGGTCCCTTGACCCCTTGCTCCTCGAGGAAATCATCTGTAGCTTGAGCTGTACGTGGTTGCTTCACGATCGAGCATGGACCAGCTGGCTCCACAACCCCTCACTCCCTGAGAAACCCATTTGCAAGGAAATTAGTAATCTACCGTTCAAAAAGACTCTAAAATGGTAGCCAGACAGGGCTGCAGTAGTAATTTTCTACACTCAAACTTAAAAAGAGGCTTCTCGTCCGCCATCTCCATATGGTAAACCTATTGGTCGTAAGAGAGACTGTAGAAGCAATTTTTTCTACACCCAAATTTTTTGAAAAAGATACCCAAGCACGAGAAAATAGTAAAGCACCTAGTGTAAGATCCAGACACTTTGAACTAATAAAATAAGGTGTAACTGAAATTGAAAATGGAAAAGAGATCAAGAAACGAAAGGAAAGAGAGGGAAGCATCTTGCTTCCAGTCCACCTCCTATTTTGTTCCTCTTCGAAGTGAGAGTGGTCGTAGAGCTTAGATGAAAGCTAAATGGCAAAAGAAACATAGGTAAACATGAATAAGCTGCAGACTCGATGGAATTGGCAATGTGAGGGAATCGATAGTGTAAAAGGAAGCCCAAAAGCTAACCTTTCCAACTGAATCACACCCATCATCGTTCAACAAAAATCTGAATCCTGCACAGACCCGCCGCCAAAGAAGGCAAATAAATCACACGAACAAATACAACACAAAATAAATGGGTCGGAGAAGAGAGTGAGAAATCTGTAAATCGTAACTATCGGTCGGAGAAGAAGGAGAACTGGATGAGGTGGAGAAGACCTCTATTGCACTATTAACTACCAAACAAAGACCAAAAAAAAATCAAAATTTAATTCAGGGGAAAATTGAATCACCAAATATCCAGAAAAATTGTAAATGACCCAAAAAATTTCTATCTGGCCAGCCAACTACGTCGCAGTTGTGGTCGGCAGAAAGGGTCGGGACTAGCGATGCCGACTTCCTCTTCCTCTGCCTAAAATGAAACGGAAAAAAAAATCAACAGAACCATATGAGAGAAAGTCCTCCTCCAAAATGCAAACAAAAACAAAACCCAAAAAGAAAGAACCTACTAAGAGAGCAGCGGTTAGCCCTCGTCGCCTCAGCTGCCTTCAAAAATCTCCTCCGGCGATAGCTCTTCCCTTGTCGAAAACCCAAAACAAAAAAAGGCAGATTTTCAAGAAATCAATAAATAAAAAATCCAAACACACCAAAATAAATAAATAAATAAATAAACCACTATCCTTAGACGTTCCTTGATAGCTGACAATCGCCGGCGAAGCTCAGGCCTCAGGCATAAATTGCCGACGAAGTTCCGGTCGGAGACCTCACTTCCTTCCCCTCCTTTGATGGCCCTTTGGCGGCGGCAGGGCATGGCTCCTCCTTGTATTTTTCTCCTTCCGTCGTTACGATCGAAATCTCGTTGGCGGCGACAGGCAAGCAATCAGGTCTTCCCTACTTCTCGACATTGCTGGGAGTTGGGACCGTACGTGGTCGTCGGGCTTCCCGTTGCCGCCATCGCCGTTCACGTCTCTCCGTCATGCACGCCGGCTAGATCCTTCCTTCTCGGTCATCTTCTTGATCGGATCTTCCTTCGTCTTCCTCCTTCTCACGTTACAGGAGAGTTTTCTTTCTGTCCATTTTCTTCTCTTCAAGAGAGAGAGGAGACTGGGTGAAAGAGAAGGGGTATGAGAGAGAGAGGGGAAGGGTAATGAAAGGTTGGACAGAAAAGCAAAAAATAGAGAGCTGACAGCTGAGGAAGAAAAGTCTTTGTTGTTAGTAAGAACTAAGAAGCCACTTTAGTCTGCCAAAAATCTTGGAGAATGCACCAATGGATGTGACTCTATGAAACTGTAATTTTGAAACTTGTTCTTTTAAGAGTTTTAATAAGGACAAACCAAGTCCACGTGAAGAAAACTTGAACAAAAGCAAAATCGCCTTTGAGAATTCGGTGGAAGGGTGTTCTTGCATGGGAAAGACAATGCCAAATTTTGCTGGGTAAAGCGATGAAAAAATGAATATGTGGGAGGGAAGAAGCTAAAAGGCCACTAGAGATTTAAATCGATTGCATGCTATTTATTTTTTTATTAAATGGGGCTAATAATCATCCCAACAGAAACAAGGGGATAGACAGAGCTTTGCCCAGATTAGAGATATATGACAATTTTTCATTTATTTGTATTTTTTTATTCTTTCCACTCTCTTTTACTGTTCTTATACTTTTGGAAGGTTCATAGCAATTTGTTGCTACGTGCGCCTATTTTATCTCCTCAAATTTATATATCATTCCATGTAATCGTCAATGAGAATAACAACTCAGATTTTCCAGAATCATCAAATCTCTAAAACTCAACAAGGTATCAGAGCTAGCAACAATCAGCTAGAACAAATCCATCTCCTCTTACCTCCCCTTGCTTTATTCATCTCTGATTTTCTTCACCCCAGCTTTTCTTCAATCCAGCCGCTCGGCTTCCCCTGAAGCTCAATCCGACGAACTTTTCTTCCTGGCGCTCCCAGCTTGAAACTCTTCTCATGGGGCTTGATCTTATTGGCTACTTAGATGGAACCACAACCGCTCTTCCTCAATCAATCACAGTGGACACGACCTCTAATGCCAATCCTGCTTATCACAACTTGTTCAGGCAAGACAAACTCGTTCTTCATGCCATGCGATGTTCAATCGATGAATCAATTTATTCTTTTGTCTCTGCTGCCTCCACCGCTCGTGAAGCTTGGCTTACCCTCGAAAATTTGTATGCTAGCAATGCACAATCGCGAATCATTCATCTGAAAGGCAAACTCGCGAAATCGGCCAAAGAAGAGCGTGACATCCTTACCTTCGCCAACGATCTTAAGGCCATTGTTGTTGAGGCGGATCTTAAAGGTCTTGGCAAAGACTACCAATCCTTCTCCGCCGATGTTCGTGCACGTGGACCAAGACTCACCCTCAAAGATCTAGTGGATTTTCTGGTAGAGTATGAGGCGGATCTTAAAGCTCGGCTGCACACCACAGTGCCGATGAAGTTCTATTCACAGGGACAGAGACAGGGCGACTCTCCTCAATCCTGTCCTCACCATGGCGCTTCCTCTCATCAGCCATACCTCGGCGTCTCCTCACCACGTGGGCCACATGGCCTGCTTCAATGTACGCCAAGCCCATCTCAGCACCTCTTCTCTGGCCCATCATCTCCACGCGAGGCCTCCAGTCCCACTTCTCACCGGCCCCGTCCAGTCTGCTAATATTGCGAAATACATGGGAAGTGGGCACACAGTGCACCAGTGCTTTCGCCTATTTCCACAGGCCCACCAGGCTCATCTCTAAAATCCGCAGGCCCAAATTCTTATTCCAATGCTACTTCCTCTTCTCCACTACCTACAAGCAGTCCGTCTTCCTCCAATCCATGGCTGATTGATTCGGCTACTTCCCAGCATGTCACAGCAGATCTCAGAAATTTATCCCTCTACTCCGACTATGCAGGACCTGATGAATTGATAGTTGGAAATGGCTCAGGTTTGCGGATTAGCCATATCGAC